TAATAGCGAAATGTAAGTAAGTAAATCCTTTAAGATTGGATCTAACAATTGGTTGTACTAGCAGAATTGATCCAGATTCGAATAGCATGCTCCGGACAATTCCTACAATTATATGAATTAGAAAAAAAGCGGACATGCTCCTTGGATTTTTCAAAGGCGATTCTAGTTTTAAATCATTAAAGTATATCATTAGATTATATTAATAAGTAGCCTTTAAGTTGTTATTGCATTTAAAAATGTCTTAATTTTCTTTCTTTATTTTGATGTTTATTAGATACAGATATTGTTAAAATTTATACAATTTAACTGTAAATTCCGTCTTTTAATCTTAAAGTTATTTCTTGTGATGACGTATTTAATATGTTTATAATATAAAATATAGATATAGATATGGAAGAGCGGTGTCACCTGCCACAGGCATTAAAAGGAGACTCCGGCCACAAATGATAGTAAACAAAATATTTTTAGTGAAATAAACTTTATTATTATTATTCTATTTTTTTCTCTTTTTTATTATCCCTGGCTTAAGGATCGAGGGATTCTAAAAAATCAGGAAACAAATTAATGTTGTCCGGATTTACTATATATAGTCTGTCGGTATTACTAATTTTGTAAATTGTAAAAGAAAAATAATAAAAATTATATTATAGCGACTACAAATACTTTTACTATATAAATAAAATGATTGTTTTTTCTTTTTTTATTAGAATTGAAATGAATGCTTGCAGTTGTGCGTGCTTCATGGAGAAAGTACTGGATAGATTTCAATTAGGTTTTCTAAGTTTTATTTCTTAGCCACTTCTTAGACACTTGGCCTTTATAGAAAAAAAAATATTGCAATATCTTTATTTAATATAAAGTTATTCAAGTTTTAAGAAACAACGATTTTTTATAAGCACTACGTGTTAAGTGATGCGCGTAAGCAACGCGGACAAAGTTGCGGGTAGCTAGTATTGAATAAAATTACTTTTACGTATTTTATCGTATTTACCATTACCATTAGCATGCTCTAATGATATCTAAACGTGATGAAATCTGCGAGGAGAGTAACGATCCAAGAGCGAGTCTCATCCGACACTATTCCGAAGATATCCCGGACTTCAGTCTGAGCGAGATTAGAATGGCTCTCCAGCACCTTAAAAGCGGTAAGGCCCCAGGCGAGGATGGAATTACAGCGGAGCGTCTGAAAGCGGGTGGAAGACCGGTACTTGAAGTCCTTCAGAAGCTCTTTAATTCCGTCCTCCATGGTGGCATTACACCGGAGGCGTGGAGCAGGAGTGCGGTGGTCTTGTTCTTCAAGAAAGGTGACAACGCTCTCTTGAAGAACTACAGACCGATTTCCCTTCTGAGCCGCGTCTACGTGCTGTTTTCGAGAGTCATTACGAATCGTCTCGCGCGCAGACTTGACGACTTTCAGCCTCCCGAACAAGCCGGTTTCCGAAAGGGCTTTAGCACCATAGACCACAAACATACCCTTCGGCAAGTTGTACAGAAGTCCTACCTATGTTTAGCTGTGGATTTAAAAGTCCACAGCTAAACATAGGCGTCCCCCATAGCTCGCATCATAGGAGGCATATTTGCCGTAGATGTCTCGCTTGGCAAGCGGTTTAGCGACAGCAGTTTTTTATTATTTTGAGTTGTTATCAGGAAGCTGCTGTTGTCCATCTCCTGTTTTAATTCCCTCTGTCCTCTCTTACGACACCCAAGGATACGGGTAGTGGATATTTTTATGCCGCAACTACACGGTTATCGCGCTTAATTTTACCTATTTTAATTACTGATGTTTCGAACGCTATGCAGCATCCATGGTTACGTATTTTTCTTTTTTTATTTATAAAAAAAAATTCTAGTAATGTTATTAAACATTACTAATATTCCCTTTAACCACTTCTGGTAAGCTTAAAATGCTTGTGTTAGAAGTGGTTCACGACAGTAGTCGAATGGCGGATTCGAACCCACGACCTTTCGAGTTCGCGGTCCGCGTCCTGCCATTTAGCTACTGACGCTTTTTTTGGTAGCAGACTTTCCGAAACATTAGAGTACGTGGTATGTGGTATTTAATAGTCCACCAATCCTTGCGAAAAAACATCGATTCTTACCAAGAACGATTCGTGAGGCTATTAAATTTGAAAAGAAGCTCTTACTTCAATAGAGAATGTTGCTTGGAATCCTCTTATTAATAAAATTAAATCTAAATTCAAGCATACCATTGCAAGACTTTAAGACACATGTATCTCATTCTACATAAATTAGACCACGATTAATAATTAAAAGCTTTGAAATTGAAGGTTCTTCGACGCTGCAAAATACTCGAGAATTTGAGAGTCAAAAACAGGTGAAATTTATTTTTTCATCAGTATTATTACAGCATAACAAAAGTTCACTGCTAAGCATAATTTTCACAAACTCACAAAATTTACAAAATCTGACTTCCGCCAAATTTAAAAACATTATTAATATTAAACAAACATTGTAAGAAAAGGGTTATAAAGAAATACAGTTATTATCTTTATATATAAAAATTACGTGTCACGTTGTTTGTCCGCGATGAACTCCTAAACTACTGAACTGATTTTGCACACTCTGTGCAGTTTGGTCCAATTTGAGAGACAGGGTAGTTTTTATCCCGAGGGTCACCCTCAATATTTTTATTGCGAATTTTTTTAGAGGACAAAGGATCGTCGGAAAGGGCAGAACAAAGTTTGCCTGGTCAGATAGTAACTATTATAAAAAAATAGGTATACATTTTTTATAATATTTATGATATTAAGAAATTTATGGACGATAATAACTCCTGAGAATGAGGTGATCGCTGACAGACATATTTTCTAAACGTAAGAGTAACTTTCAATAAGATAACTATTATTTATAATCTAAATTGAACGCAGCCTTAAGTTTAATTTAAAGGCCATTAAATCCGTAAAAGTAGCTTTATTCAAAGTTATAAAAATTAAAAAGGGTCTTTAACCATTAATCCTTGTTCAAGGTTATCCGTGTCTCCAATAAATCTGTAAAATGCTAATTAAATCTCTTGCTTTTTGAAGTGAAAACTTCTTTAGAACCGTTGTAATTTAAGACTCGATGAAACGAAAAATCGACACTAAAGGGAGACAAACATATACATCTATAGGATTTAGCCTCCGAGAGAATGAGATAGAATACAATATACAGAGCTTAGATTATTGATAAGTCATCGCGCTTCGGAGCGCGCGATAACTTATCAATAATCTAAGGAATTAATCTAATTAGAATAATGCTCTCACAGTTTAGTTTTCTAAAAGTTTCACTTCTAACGCTTATTGTTTTTGATATAAATATTATTTAATCTGTGATAATCATCAGAATTAACAATTAAGAAAAAACATTATATCCCAAAGTAGTAGTATGAACTGTAAAAGTCCTAGCAATATAGTAATAAAAAAACAGTTTTTTTATTATTTTGAATTATTATTAGAAAGATGCTGCTGTCCATCTCCTGTTTCAGTTTCCATCTGTCGCCTCCCACGGGATGATACGGTGTTGTAATTTACTACGCAACTTTTAGTTTTCTAACAATTATTTTTAGTTTAGTTACATTATGAGATAACTAAAACTTATAATTTGCAACGCCGTGTAGAGGTGGCATAACTTAAAATGTTGCTAAAACACAACGTGATCAATAATGGTCTCAGAAGCTATGTCTTTTAACTAGTGGTAGAGCTATGCTGCAGCTATATTATAGTTGAAGCACGAACGCCGACCTATTCGTGCTTCAACTATAATATAGTCGACCGGGGAAGTACTACACTCTAACAAAATACTAGCGTGAAATAGCAGCTTAATGCTGCTGTGTTTCGTATGGTGAGTGCAGATAACCGGAGACCTTTTTATTGGAAACGAGGCGTTCCATCTAAGGCCTCAGAGTGACAACGCATCCGCATTTTGATTCTTAATCGAGGGTAGGTGTAGATGTCTATGGATCACCTATGTGCTCGTTTGTCACCCTTATTCTATTAACATTAACGTTCGAAATTCATCATTGAACATCAACCATTCGTTTGTCCAATCATTCGATGTACATATCTCGTACATCGGATATAAAATGCGTCAATTAGCGGCAGGGAACAGCGTTAATGTTAGAAGATTCCTGGTATAAAAATGTATCGCCCTTTTAATATATTTTTCAAAATCTTCAAACTTTGTAGGCATAATTTTTTTTTATAGAATAAGGGTGACAAACGAGCACACAGTCCACCTGCAATCTTCGTTTGCGAATCAAAATGCAAATGCGTTGTCACCCGTGAGGATTAAGATAGAATGCCTCTTTTCCAGTAAAAAGGGTCTCCGGTTCTCTACACTCACCATACGAAACACAGCAGCATGAAGATGCTATTTGACGCGGGTATTCTGTGAGAGCGTGGTCCTACCCCGGTCGCCATTCGTGCAACAACTATACTATTAATATAGCTGCAGCATGGCTCTTCCACGTATATAAGACTTAGCGTAAAGATTACGCTAAATCTTGCAAACTACGCGAAACGTCTTTTTTCGGCAGTGGTCTGTTCAAGTAAGATGTAGTGAAAACAGACATTATAATCATCATCAGGCCATCAACAAATCACTATCAGATACTTACTACTCACAAAAACAGAGAAGATATTACATGATGTTAAAGTTACCGTCTAAGGATGTTAAAAAGGGTGAATAGTCACTTTCGATCACAATTACATACTGTCTGATCGCTATCAGAGAACGTTCCAATGTCCATCGGGAGTGCTGTGCCCGTTAATGATTCGGCGTTAGTCCTAAAACGGTGTCGATATCGGGGCCGGAATTTCTACGCCACGAGCACGTTGTACTGCACTTTCTTTTGACGTTTTTATTTGGTCTCGCCGACAATTGTCCTCCGTAGGACACTTTATATCCTGCCATTCGATCATATTGTACATCAGTTATCGTCAGGCGATCGTCTGGTCACCATCAAATTTTTTAATTTTATTTTTTGCACAATCCAGATCAAAATGTGTAGAATGTTCGGTGTTCTATCCTTAGCTTACGTGGCTATTTTTATTACGGTTGTGCAATGTAACGAAGATGTATCGTCACGGGGAGTTATCGATTATTTGAGCAAAGGTAAATGAAATTGATATACTTATTAACTGTAATTGATAAAAGTCAAACACTAATAGGTATAAATTATATTGAAGTGTCTGTCTGTAATATTGAAACTACCTTTTATTAAACTGTTATTTGCATACTAATACCACAGATTACTTAATAGTTTACTAAACTAATACAATACGCATTTTTTATGGAAGAGGAGGCAAACGAGCATATTGTGGTTCACCCGATGGTAAGTGTGATCACCGTCGCCTATAAACATTTGAACACCAGGGGAATTGCAAGTGCGTTGCCAGCCTTTTAGAAAGGAGAAGAATCTTTTATTTAATATCCCTAAGTCATATCATATCCTGAAAAATCGCTGCCGAGAGTAAATTACACATAAACATTTTTTTTTTAATTTTTGGTTATCTATCTGTCCAGTATGAATGGTTAAACCGATTCTAATGTAACTTCACGAACAAATAGCGAGAAATGTCAGGATCGGTCTAGGCTATATTTTATCCGAAAAACTTGCAGTTTCTTTTAAGAAATCGGAAAAAATTATCAAATAAATGGTCTTTGATGATTGTCTTAAATCTAACGCCACATTAATACTCGTAGATCCATCCCATCGTGAATTGGATATATTAATATAGTTTCAAAAACATTCAAAGCTCGTTGTATAAATACTTACTTAATAGAATTTTTTTCAATACTTTAACATTTAATCCCTATAACTTACTATACGAGTTTTACTTTTGATGAAAACAACTTTACCGGAATCAGATTGGAATCTTCGTAAATCAGCACTTAAAATTGCAATTAATAATTTTATTTGTGTTGGCGGGAATCGAACACGGGTAGATCGCAAACTATGAAATTTACAGCGAGTGTTTAGACTCTGTACTACCGCAGCTCATTAATTGTAAAAATAAAAAAATAAATTTGGTTTATTGGCAAGGTTTCCATTAACGTTTTTGTTAAGCTATGATTACTTGGACGATGTCAGGGAAAAGAGAATAAGAAACCAACATAACAAAATGTGAATTGTCGTATACAATACACATTACTGTCATAGTAAAATATATTTTTGGTAATGTTATTATAATGACAATAGTAAATCGTGGGAGCAACTTGGAGATATAAAAATAAGGCATGGGTGAGATAATGATCCATAATGTAATATTATAAAAGTCGTTTCCACGTTAGAAAATAGTGGTATAAGGGCTGCCTGAGGGCCTTTGGAAGGAGTGTGACAAAGTGGCGCAATCAGCATACATTATAACCACCACTTAGGACATTGTAATACTAGAGCGTGTGTGAGTCATTGTACGCATAACTTCACTAAGTCCTTACCTTTAGGCCCTTTCGTCATTGACCGAAATAGAGGCTGTAGCTACTTACCGTCAGGTGAGCCGTACACTCGTTTGCCCCTTCTTTTTCTTTGTAAAATGTTCTTTAATTCTTGTTAATAATCATACGAATCTAAGCAGCATCATGTTGAGTTGTATTTTTATACGTGATAGAGTCACGAAACACGATGCAGCTTTATTATAATTGTAGTTTGAATAGGTTTAGGTTTAAAAGATCTTTATTACTCATTAAGACAAATGCAGGTCACTTATATGAGTACATAGCTGAAGGTAAATTCCACAGTCGTTCACCAAATTGAATTCACCAAAAATACACAAACTTCACCCGCGCAACGCATTCACGATTATTTAAGTGAGTCATTAGCAACAAGATATTCTTACAATTATTGTTTCTAGAATGCGTTGAACGAGCTAACATTTTTTATGTGTGTATGGGTAATTTCTTATAAAGTTGCGATCCTTCAAACTCCTACACACTCTCACAGAATACCAGCGTGAAATAGCAGCTTACTGCTGCTGTGTTTTGTATGGTGAGTGTAGAGAACTGGACACTCTTTTTACTGGAAACGAGGCATGCCGTTTTAGTCCTCAAGGGTGATTCTTAATCAAGGATAAATGTAGATGTGGCTACAATATCCACTAATTTTCTGGTGAACTGTGTACTCGTTTATAAACCTTAATCTTTAACAAAATGAGTATTATATACGCTACGGTATAAGTATAAAGTTAGCGCGATCCTAATCCTACCAAACTGAGTCATTTTTCTGCCACGTAAAACAATGTTAGTTCATTTTTTCGTACAATATAATAAAATAAGCTATTAAATACTACAAACATTTTTAAATACTTGACAGGGGCTGCCAACTTTTCCGAGTTTTTCGCGTGTTTCGACATGATTTGAGCCATTTCGGCAATTTACCTTGCGGGACTGCTTAGTGCCTTATTTACGTCGCGGAAATCATTGAACAATCAATCAACTTATTATTATTATATTACTTACAGAAATGTTTTAGTGCTCTAAAAGTCAAAAAAAGTGTAAAAAAAGGTGTGAAACGTAATGATTTCTTATATTTACGCGAAGACTACACATTAAACGAAAATAATTTTTCGGAATTAAAAAGTTAAATTAAACGCATATAAAATCCTTAAAAATTAGAAGCTTTTAAAAAGTTACTTCGCAAACATCCGCTCTATAAAATAACTTTGTAACTTTGTCTTACCTAGTATGAAGACCTATAAGACCTAGTATGACTTAACGTAAAAATTAGTTTCATTTAAGGTGTGAAACGGTTAATACTTGCTTTGTTCCATAAATATATAACTAGGAGGTAGGACCCCTTTTCTGCTCTTTCTCTCTCTCTCTCTCTTTCTTGCCCTCTTGCTTGCACTGTCACTCACTGCCAGTAAGATGGTAGTCAAATAACTGCTGCTGACTGCCATCTGACTGAGATCCAGTATAACTGTAGGCTGTAAGGCATTCCAAATTAGTCCTCAGAGGTGGCACTGCTTCTGAAGCCTTCTTTTTTAATATTGTTTGCAGGTGTGCATTGGCTGCTGTAGCTATTAACTACCAGGTGGAATATAAGTTTGTCAGTTGAGTTTTATAAGAATGAAATCTGTACTTCTTTTTTTTATAGTAGAAGGGTGACAAACGAGCACACAGTCCACCTGATGGTAAGTGGTTGCTATAGCGCATAGACATCTACATCTATCTTCGATTACGAATGAAAATGCAGATGCGTTGTCACCCGTGAGAACTAAGATGGAATGCCTCGTTTCCAGTAAAAAGGGTCTCCGGTTCTCTGCACTCACCATACGAAACACAGCAGCGTTAAGCTTCTTTGAACAAAGTTATCATAAAAAATCGTTCTTAATTGATCGATGACACACGTAAATTCAGTGACTAAACTAAGTACAAAGTAACATATTACGAAAAAAAAAATTTACAAAAACTTAAAATCTAAATGTACATGTGTGTTGCAGTTTGACAAATGGGTCCTAGCTCAGCGATTAATATTGCTCAGAGAGCAAACACTGATTTCCAGCTATTACCCTCGAGATAACGAGAAGAACATGAGCACAATAGTTAATCAGTGCAAATATGTATATTTGAAAGATGTATCCTTTCAGCCCTACGATTTGCATCTTGGGTATAATTTAGTAAAATTACTGAAGGGGCAGGACGGTGTGTATGATTGCGTACAAATTAAAAGTAGTAGCTAAAAGGCTTAGACAGCCATGATGAGTTAGTAGGAACAAAAAATGCCGTGGTTTATAGCTGGCAAACAAAGCGTTTGGGAATACCTCGTTTTAGTTTATCTAGAAGATATGTTTTGAATTTATTAACTGTTGCATCACATACTGAAAAGTGGTATTCACAGTAATAAAATTCGCAAATGATTTTTGTACAGATGTCAAGCCTACTTGATACAGAATCCATAAATACTTATTTAATTTCAATAATTTTCACCTTTCAGACAATGACGTCGGCCGTACGTTTGGTCGGTTTGCTCTGAAGCGGTTGTCGTTCATCTTCCTGCCGGTGATGTTCACACTCGGCGTTATTTCAACCCTGCTGCTGGCGCTCGCCGTTATCTCCGTGAAGAATCTTGCCATTGGAGTGATCCTTCTTATCGTTGGCATCAGTCAGGTAAAAATTAAACTCTACAAATTATAAACTTAATTCGTCCTTGGGAGTATATCACCGCAGAAACTTTTGCAATATAGTTATTTGTTTTATATGTAGATACGATTGCTGTCCTTTGTTACATTAATATATAACTATATTTTTCTTTTCAACCGTGTAGTGGCAATGTATAAGAATCCAGTATTTCTAAGATTCTATATCATCCAGTGAGTATTGTAAGAGGTCACCGAGGAAAACTGAAACAGGAGTTGGTAGCAACATTTTCCTGATAACAATTGAACACGTGGTAGAGCCATGCTGCAGCTATATTACTGGTATAGTTGTAGCACGAATGGGTCGGCTCGACCAGGGAAGGACCACGCTCTCACAGAATATCAGCTTAAAATAGCAGCTTAACACTGCTGTGTTTCGTATGGTGAGTGTACAGAACCGGAGAACCTTTTTACTGGTAAAGAGGCATTCCATCTAAGTCCTCACGGGTGACAACGCATCTGCATTTTGATTCTTTATTGAGGATAGATGTAGATGTCTATGGTTCACACCAACCACTTAACATCAGGTGGACTGTGTGCTCCTTTATCACCCTATCCTATATATAAAAAAAACAATAATATAGTCTATGCCGTCTATGATACAGGTCTAAGTTCAGCTGTGGACTTGTGATTATCTGTAGTGAACGAATGAATGAATTGTTTGTACATTGGGATAATGTAAGGCAAACATAAACTTTAATATTCATCTAAGTATTAAACTGTCACAACAGTTTATTACTTAGATGAATGTATGTTGTATGTTATAAAGTATGAATAAGTTACATATACTAAATATATATTTGCTTCGTATGATTATTACCAAGAATTAAAGAACTTTTTACAAAGAAAAAGAAGGGGTAAACGAGCGTACGGCTCACCTGACGGTAAGTAGCTACAGCCTCTATTTCGGTCAATGACAAAAGGGCCTAAATGTAAGGACTTAGTGAAGTTATGCGTACAATGACTCACACACGCTCTAGTATTACAATGTCATAAGTGGTGGTTATAATGTATGCTGATTGCGCCACTTTATCACACTCCTTCCAAAGGCCCTCAGCCAGCCCTTACACCACTATTTTCTAACGTGGAAACGACTTTTACATTATGGATCATTATCTCACCCATACCTTATTTTTATATCTCCAAGTTGCTCCCATGTTTACTATTGCCATTATAATAACATTATCAAAAATATTTTACAACACTTATGATAATTGAGATAGGCAGCAGCGTCTTTATTAAAAACTATTGCAAATATTCCCCTTATGAGGTAATCTGTTGGGAAGCCTTTATTCATCAGTGGCCACGGATACGCCGCCATGAATAAATTAATGATAGAGTATATTTCCTCAATGGTCGATAAAAATATCAGCCAGTTTCAATATTACTCGTATTTGAAGTCTGTTCATATTTTTTGAATGATTTAATTATTTCGATTGAATAATAAGGTGCGTGAGGGTAATATGGTCATCATAAGTTTTGCCGCCTTAAAAAACCAAAACTACGAGGAGGGCAGAGACAATTACACAATGTCGTATACTATAACTAATATATTAAGAAAAAAAAATAGCAAACAAGCCTTTGCAATCATTATGAACACTTCGAAAAATCAACTTAAAAAACTAATTACACCACCCAATACTAAAATCGACTAAAATATTTACTGAAATATCAACTATCAAAATGGCGTCGATAAAGCGGCGCCCTTTTGACCTTCTATTATTTGAATGACTGATGAAGAACTATCATATCACAAAGCCTTAGACGGCTTATGACTGTAGTTTTTGGATTATAAGAAAGTGACCATATTAACCGGATGACCATATTACCCTCACGTACTATATTCCTCGTTGCCACCAATGGATTTGATAATTTGATTTTATAATTGCTGATCCAATGATGATTAATTACTGAACTCGGCGGTAAAGGAAAATGTCGTGAGAATGATTTAATGACCGAGAAATAAAATTATACGAAACGTACAATATGTACGTATGTGCTTCAACACGCTCAAGAGCCGCGCGGTGGACTGATTGCTCCAAAACTCTTTCAGAAATAAGAGGGATCCCTTGAATTATGACCATTACATTACTATTTTCACAACGATAGCCTTATACCCGGCAGTGTTTGCGTTTTTAATCAATGAATACTTTTAATTTTCAAAACGTGTGTTCATTTACAGGCGGCGGCTAGATTGTTCTTTGCGGCGACTTCGTCTGGGTCATCACCTTTGTTGCATCTGCACCCTAGAACTGAATTTCTGCCAGCACCCGCACCTTGGCCAGCTTCTGGTCCGCTTCTTTCTCCCTGGGCACGATCGGACAACGACGCAACAATATCCGACTAAATAATAATGTAATTCTTACCTGAACGTTGAGTTCTATAGTTGATATACCGAAAATTATTAACGGTTTCACCAACGAGAATAACTTTATTTAGAAACTATACAGTTATGTAAGTTATTTATGCATTTGTTACGTCTTCGAAAACTTCGTCTGTCCCTCGCAAAACGGGATTTTGTGACAGATAGACGACGATAATATGTAATGTATGAGTTTTATTAACCCGGCGGTACTCGCTAGGTGTTTACATGCACGAATACTCGCTACCGGGTAAAAAATACCACATAATTTAAATGACATTATCTTGGAAAAATAAGTTTGCATTACAAACTTTAATGGTGTATTTAGTTTATTAATACTAATGTCTAATAAATAAAAGAAAATTAAAAGTTTGAATTATTATTTATTTCAAATTATAGCTTATCCTAAAAAAAATACAAATTCTAACAGAAATTCTTCATAGTCTTAGAAAAATCAACAAAACAATTTTTTTCTTAGGTATCACGTAAAATTGAGATCAAAAATTATAAAACGACCTTATACACTACCAAAACAACAAAAAATAAAATACTGTTTATATTAAATGAACATCGAGAAAATAATCGTCAAACATTATGTTTCAAAAAACTTGTACCTAATCTAACTATTTTGCTTTGACATAACAATCGCCACAAATTGGGGTCGTATGCTCACGGCATATTCTTTTGGAACACAATTTACAAGACGTCTTAGTTTTTCGGTCCTTCTTCCATTCACATACTGCACAACGGGAAGCAGATATGGACGGTCGCAAAGCTGAGGATGTGCTTGTGTGCGTGGCTTCGTCATTCGAGTCAGCATTGAGCATACAATCAATTTTTGTTTTGATAATTTTTGGCAAATTAGCTACTGTTGACCTCTTTTTTATCTGTGGCATCACAAGGGCCAAAGCCAGTTCTTTCAAAGCGATCCTTCTCTGAGCCATCACAGCTCCACTATTTACTTTATTTGCCTTCACTATCACGTACGCATTGATGCCGCCGACGTTCAAAAGACCATAAAACAAAACCAATGGCCATCTTTTGGTAGCTCGTGCTACTGAGTAGGTAGCACACATCTCATCCACAACATCGACGCCACATTTTGTTCTATTATAGTCCATGATCATCTCGGGCTTTTTTTCTTCTCCAGAATCTTTTTTGCCATCATGGTGCATAGTTGACGCCAAGAGCACGACTTTATTTTTCTTTGGAACATAAGACACAACAGTACAATTATCTTGAAATCCAAAAAGGGAACTGTGTACTTCCCGGTCTTTGGTTGAGGTAAATACAAGTGGAATTTCAGCTTTATTCTTTCTCAAAGTACCCAATGCTGTCAAACCATAATCATTGAGCAAATCACGCAATAGCGGAAAACTAGTGAACCAATTGTCCATCACTATGTTACGATCACTATTCTTTATAGGTTCTACTAAGCGTTTGACGACTTCACTTGGTGAATTACTGTGATCATAAGGCCCATCATTTTTGCCAACATAAATTTCCATATTATTTGTATAGAAGGTTCGTGCGTCAGCCAACACAAATATCTTTATACCGTATTTACCGGGTTTGCTGGGTATGTATTGCCGAAATGGACAACGGCCGCGAGTCTTCTCCAACTTTTCATCGATTGTTACATTTTCGCCGACAGCATAATATTTTTTTATATTATTATTGAACTCTTCGAAAATCTCGCGAATGGGTGCTAGCTTATCTGTTTGCCTTCTTTCACCTCGTCTACGAATATTGTCAAACCGTAAACTCCGCAGTAAGAAATGGAACCTTTCTCGTGACATTGTGGCTATACAGACGTCGGAACCACTTCCATCTTTTTCCCAGAGATCTTTTGTGTTCAGATGACCACTTCGCAATCTTCCGCAGAAATAAAGTAATCCAAAAAGAGCTCTAAGTTCAACGATATCTGTACTTTTACAATCGCGTTCTCTTGAGAATTTAGACTTTAGCTCTTCTATATAAATGTTAGTATACTGGACTATCTTTAGTAAACACGTTTCCGGAAAAACAAGATTCCAGGCTTCTAACATAGATGAACAAGATCTGCCTTCGCCAATCGGTCCCGGCAAATGATATATAATGTTATGGGATCTTGTTCGTACACGTCGCGGCGGCTCACGAACTTGCCAGCGAGTTCTTTTGTCTTTTCCAGTAAAACGACCTCGCCTCAAGTACTTAAGCGGTACATCCTCTAAATATTCTTCATCTTCAGTATTCTCAATTTGTAAATTCTAAGGAAAACTCTCTTCCGACACTGAAGACCCATCTGAATCACTTGCTTCTTGCTCTGTTCCGCTTTCATGATCACTATGCTCCTCAAAATCTTCTATTTCTGACACATTTTCTTCTTCACTATCTTCTTGTTCTAGACATTCTTCTATAATTCGATCCGTCAGTAGGGAACTCATCATGAACCAGCTCTAAAACAAAATAATAACATAAAAAAAACCACCAATAACATAAAAAAAAATGTAACAAGAACCGTCGCTACCGGGTATTTTTCACCCATACTCACTTTAAACGTCCGTTGTCGCCAAGCGCCGCGCGCGAACTGGCCGCCCGGTGACGCACGCGCGTGTTAACTATTGGCCAGAAGGTACTTAAAGTCGTGAGTTGCCACCATGTTTAGTAATAAAAATATCACGTGATTTAGGTACTCTGTGGTATTTTTTACCCAGCAGCGAGTACCGCCGGGTTAATAATAGACCTACCTACACTTTAAGAAATAATTTATTTTATTCTAACAAAATTATTTTGTTTTATTTTATACCATACAAGTGATCCGCCCCGACTTCGCACGGGTGATTTCTGGATCACTGCATACAGCGCCACCTACCGGGTTTAATTGTGAATAAAAAATATAAAATAAAACCCACAAAAAAGTCATAAAAACGATCCAACCATTTTCGAATTTTTGCGAGACTAACGGACAGCAATTGATTTTTTATAATATAGAGATCATACATGACTGGATGAGCCTTTACCCGAGACTTCATCCGCTTAGAAAGCAAAGAAAATCTTGCAGATCTATATAAGTGGTCTTCGGGCAAGTAGCTACACTATCAAAAAACACTTAAAACTTAAGTTTTTTTGCTATTAGCACTTAAATTATGAAGAAGGAATGTAACGGTGAAAAAGTGTTACAAGTCGAAACGCATTAAAACTTCAAGGGCTTAGAAGATAAAGTGGATTATGAGGATTAGGATTGTTTTATACCAAATATTAAAAACCAAAATCTTGTTTGAAACTTTTTTATATCTCTTTTAGTATTTTAATTTAAGAAAAAACAGCATGTTTTTCGAATAAAATATAACCTTGAAATACATATAATTTAATAAAACAACTAATAAAAAAAACTAATAACTTCAATTGTCATACAGTTAAATATAACCTAGTTCACTTCTGTTATCTCTATATATTATGCATATATATATATATATACAAACATTTTTAACATTTTTAAACTAAACGGCTAAGCTGTTGACTGTTGCGCTGCGGGCCACGGCTTCGATTTACGCAAAAAAAAACAAGAATAGCATAGAATAATTTTTATTCTGTATAGATTATTAGATAACACTTTTTGAAAGTATTTTTTTTTTATTTAGCACAGGTTCGGAAAATGCCTCTGTCCTAGAAAGAACCAGCAAGAAACCCAGCGCCATTATATTTTTTTAGACAAGTTCTTTACGACCTACACACATAATTGGTTCTCTACAAATATGAGGTTTACGATTCGACCATAATATGCTTTTGTATGTACAGTGATTTTAGCAGTGGTAGAGCCATGCAGCAGCTTTTGCTTACGGATTTTTCTTACGGATGGGTTGGCTCGAACCGGGGTGGTACTACGACCTCACAGAATACCAGAGTTACCAAAGGCAACCCCTGCCACGCTTTCCGTGAATTTATGCAATATCAGGGGATTTCATTCAAACCTTAACGCCGTCCACTACCATCTGGAGACTAGAGGCAAAACCGGCCTTATTCTTTCTAACCGAAACACAGGTGTCTTCTCCGGCTGATACTTCATATCTCTCCCACCCGGGGTAAAAATTAAAACACTCCTTTGTGCCCCGGGCTGGAGTTGGCGTGTACGTCAGAAACGACATCTATTTTCGACGTCTCGGCAGTCTTGAAGGTACGGACCTGTCATTACCCATGGCTGCGCGTAGACTGCGACGACCATCCCCGCGTCTACGGGTGCCTCTGTAGGTCCCATAGTGGAAATGCCGACACAGACCAACTCATTGACCACGTCCAAATGACTGCAGACTCTGTGCTACAACAGGTCCCATCCGCAGAGATCGTGATGCTCAGTGATTTTAACGCCCACCACGCTAAATGGCTTGGTTTCCATTTAACCGATCATGCGGGTAGATCTGTTTATGACTTTGCCTTGGCATATGGTCTGACACAACTGGTAACTTCGCCTACTTAGATCTCAGATGTGGAGGATCATGTACTTTCTCTGTTGGACCTTCTGCTGACCTCTCATCTCATCTCATGTGCATTCTGGTCATATCGCGACAAAACTCGCGATACCATCTATACCATCTGGATGGATTGGCGGTCCACCAGTGTGCGATTTAGAAGAAGTTTTCTTCCTCCATAATTTCCTTGTGGAATCGATTACCACCAGCAAATTTTCCGAACCGATACGACTTAGGGACCTTCAAGAAAAGAGCCTATTCCTTTCTAAAAATCCGGCAACGCATCTGCAATTCCCCTGGTGTTGCAGTTGTTCATAGGCGGCGGTAGTCACTTACTTAAAAAAAATACCTATGGTACGCGATATCTTCGTCAAATGTGGATCGATTTTAATGATTCCTTTTTTATTAAAAAGATTATACTTATTTTTACGCCGATGATCAAGTCATATTTGCATCGTCGGCGGTGGATTTGCAAATGATGGTTACTTTAATGAACTGGTCATTAAAAGAAAGGGGTATGGAAGTGAACGCAAGTAAGACGAAAGTGATGGTTTTTGAAAGAAAAGAAAGTAAAACGTTATGTGAAATTAGAATAGAAGGGGAGTTGATTGAGCAAGTGGATGAGTTCGTATATTTATGATGTTTATTTAGCACGGATGGTAGATATGATAAGGATATAGAACGACGAGTGAACGCAGGATATAGAGTGAATGGGGCTCTACATGCTATTATGAGGAGTCAAAATGTGTCAAAGAAGGCACGTATGGCAATTCATAATGCTATCTTAGTCCCTGCTTTAGTGTATAGTAGTGAAAGTTGGGTCTGGCAGAAGAAGCATGAGAGTAGAATAAATGCTGTAGAAATGTGGTCATTAAGGAGTAGACTAGGGTTGAATCTGAATGACAGGGTGAGAAATGGTGTGATAAGAGAAAAGTGTGGCTTGCAAGATGACGTTGTGACCAGGATTAAAAAAGGAATGCTTCGGTGGTTTGGTTACGTAGAAAGAATGAACGAGGAAAGAGTGACAAAGCAAATTTATGATTCAGAAGTGAAAGGCAGAGTAGGGAAAGGACGCCCTAGACGAAGATTGATCGACCAAATCGGCAATACATTGAAAATGGGCCAGATTAGCAGTACCCTTAACCGACGAGCATGAATGCGTATATATATGGATGTAAAGGAGGCGAGAGAGGTGTGTCAGGATCGCGCCAAATGGAAGTCCGTAGTCTCTGCCTACCCCCCTGGGTGACAGGCGTGAGTGTTTGTGTTTGTGTTGGTGTTTATTATAATTCAGTCCACAAACTTGTAAAAAAAAATAGGAGATACATTTTTGGTGTAAATATTGAGACGACATTGTGATTGAGAAATTTATTTGATTGTGGACTAATCACTCAAAATGGATAATAATCAAAAGCCAAGTCAGCTTTCGAATAACTAAGAAAAATAAAAGAAAAATATTTTTTTAAATTTCAAAAATATTATACACTATGCACCGACTTTCGAATGTGATTTTATTTAATTATTTTAGTTTTTTCAAGTTGGCTTTCACTTTTTATCATATTTTTTTTTACCTTAGCAGCTACTAAAAAAAAACTGCTTAAGATATTCATATTGCGACAGTAGTCATATTATTATGCGCTAGCGGAAAACCACCACAGCGATTCACGGCGGTGGACGGACGCATTTTTAACACAATTGGAATAGCGGTTAGCCGCTCGGGCGCGGTGCGGCGACGGCAAGTCATTCAACGATTCTGAACACGTGGTCACAGAATGAGTACGTCGAGGTCGCAACGGATGTTGTTTACCTATATTATTACGTTTTAAAAAAGAGATATTGGATATTTTCCTATCTCGTAATATAACTGGTCAGCTATCGATCTATGAGTAAAGTGCTTTGTCGAAGACCACAGAAATCGTAATAATAATATGACTTCTGTGTCGAAGACAGTGACCAGCCGTGGAACGTGTAGTGGTTTAATATCAAAAACGACCGAAAAGCCACATGAATAACCTCCCTAGCGGATGACGGCCACCTGAATGCCAAAGAGCATATAATCACTACATTTATGAGCGCTATGTTACGAAAATTATGTTACGAATTGTGGAACAATGAAAATCATTTTCATGGCGGATTCAAACCGAAAATAAGCATCTAATAACACAAGCATTTTATTCCGGTTGGAGCCACATCACACATATCAAAAGTCTCATAAGTCCGTTATTACCGATAACTCGTGACCACATAGTACTTACTTCAATTGATTTATTCGTAATATCAAAGCTCGTTTTACAGGTCCACCACATTCATTTTTTACGTGATAGAGCCAATCTGCAGCTATATTATGGTTGTAACACGAATGAGTCAGCTCGACTGGGGAAGGATCACGCTCTCACAGAATACCAGCGCAAAATAGCAGCTTAATGCTGCTGAGTTTCGTATGGTGAGTGTAGAGAATCGGAGACCCTTTTTACTGGAATTTCGGCATTTCATCTAAGTTTTGACGGGTCTCAATACATCTGCATTTTGATTCTAAATCGAGAATATACATAATGTTCAGGTTTATGGGCCACAGCATTCACTTACCATCAGGTGGATTGTGTGTTCGTTTGCAACCTTTATACTATAAAGAAACGACAGTATACCAGAAAAACTCTTATTAAATTGGGATTTGCTCTGAAAACGTTAAAGGGTAAAATAATCTACTTATAAGTTTCTTGCCGTTTCTTATGTGGAGACTTCGGTCTTGTTAAATAACAATATTTTGACTTTGGAATTGACTTTGAAAATGTTATTTCTTGGAAACTTATTTTAGTTAACTTCCATAATCTATCTCTATTTTTTATATGTTACTCTATTTTTAGAAATATCTCTTCTAAAAATAGAGTAACAAAGTTCTACGTATTTTAAACAAAGAGTACATTTTTAGTTATTATTAACAAACTTATTTCATTCTAATGAAAAACAGTCTCTACCGTCTGCGTAAATTGTATCTTACCAATTCATCAGAATGCATTTTCTCAGACTCACTTTCTACGTTCGTTGAACTTGGTTAAGTCAGTGAATGGAATGAAAACATTTTAATAACGTTAGTATATTACACGCAAGTGATAATGACATTGCTTGGGCCAACTTCAGCCTCGGCGTTAGCTATCGAGTAATTCCGAAAGTAATCAACCGGGCGGAACTATACATGTTAGATCCATGCTGCAGCTATATTTCTGGTATAGTTGTAGCACGAATGGGTCGGCTCGACGGCACCGGAAGGACCACGCTCTCACAGTATACCAGCGTAAAATAGCAACTTAATGCAGCTGTGTTTCGTATGGTGAGTGTAGAGAACCGATGACCTATTTTACTGGAAAAGAGGCATTCTATCTTAGTCCTCACGGCTGACAACGCATCTGCATTTTAATTTGCAAACGAAGATAAATGTAGATGTCTATGGGACACAGCAACCACTTACCATCAGGTGGACTGTAAACTCGTTTGTCACCCTAATTCTATAAAAAAAGGTTTTTCTGATCAACCCTTATACATAAGTAATATTAGTATGTGTAAACAATTTCGCCGATACGCGGAAAAATATAAATTTTGTTTTTATTCTGTTGATCTCGGTAACATTCGCAAGTCCTCAAATTGCACTAACATAACTTCCTTGAAATTTTTTTTTTCGTCCCAAAACATCCAACGAAATAATTCATTCGAGTCTTTGGTAGACCCTTCCTTCATTTTTAGTATTAATATTATATTTATTATCAATAAATACATATAATATTAATTCTTGAGATTTTCCGTCAAGCAATTCTCAGTAGCTGCCCGGAGTCAGGAAGTTGGCGGTGTCTCAACCCCGTGCCTCTGAAAGCACGTAAAGCCGTTTGGTCCTGCGCCTGATGTCTCTCCATTCGTGTCGGTTTACCGTCCCATTGGATTATGGAATGATGGAATATAGTGTACCTATGCTTACGCGTGCACTTGTGCACTATAATCCTGTCCTGCGCCGATGGCTAGTCTCCGTTGAGCCTGGCCGCCTTGACCGAAATTCGGTCTGGACGACATTATTATTATTATTATCAATAACATTTTATATCGTGTATACGTCGGTGGTATATTGTCTGTAGTATATGTTAATACATAGAGACAATATTTATTAGCATATAATTTAAACGCCTTCCGTGTATTTTAAAAATTATATTATATTAAAAAATTTCTCTGCAGGCTACGCAATCTTTAAATGAAATTATAATACGAAAATTTAATTCAGTAACATTTTTAATAATTTCTTGACTAGTTCACTCATCAAATATTTTAAAACTTTCATAAATGATATTAATACTAAGTATATTTATAAATTAGCATTTTATTAGAAAGTTTATATACTTTCAACCACATTCAATTCTGGTCTAGACATTTTAATGACGTTCTGCTTTGCACGCTCTATTTTATCTATATATGGTAGTAATAAACCAACAGCTTATCTGTTATTTTTAAAATTTCATACTCCATCACTTGAAGCGTAACAAAGAAGTTAGTCCAGGAGGAATCGACACATGAGTACCAAAAACTATTCCACCTCACTTTTTTTTTTTCGAAATTTTCTTCAAATTGTCCTAGTGATGATATAAATGCATGTTGCCATTATCGTAAAAAGTTATATGACCTTTTGTATTCGTATTTCATCAAAGAATATAAAGAAAAATATCTTTTATATTTAATTCTTTTTCGTTATAGGTATATTTATAATGAGTCAAAAATTTTGGGATTTTTCAAACATTAAAAAATTCATACTCTGAAAATATTAACTTTATTGTAAAAAGTGATAGGATCTTTTTTATTAGTATTTTATCACAGAATATTTAAAAAAATGTCTCGTTTGAAAATAACAATTCCTTGTAATTGAAAAAAAAACGGTTTAAATAACGTGAATTTATATCATCAGTAGGACAATTTGAAGAGAATCGCATTTAACATTAAGGTGGAATAGTTTTCCGTACAGATCATGCGTTTCTTTCATAGTTTCTTATCATAATCTTTGGGATCTTGAAAAAAAAAACCAAATAATTTTCACACAGCGTCACTTCGTGCAAGTTTTATGCATAATTGAGGCGATACTTATGTCGATTTACCACGTGTTCGGATAGAAACGTTACATGGTAGAGCCATGCTGCAAGCTGCAGCCATATTAGTAGTAAAGTTGTAGCACGAATGGGTCGGCTCGACCGGGGAAGGACCACGCTCTCACAGAATACCAGCGTAAAATAGCAGCTTCAAACTGCTGTGTTTAGTATGGCGAGTGTAGAGAACCGGAGACCCTTTCTACTGGAAGAGAGGCATTCCATCTTAGTACTCACGGGTGGCAGCAAATCTGCATTTTGATTCGCAAACGAGGATAGATGTAGATGTCTATGGACCACAGCAACCACTTACCATCAGGTGGACTGTGTGCTCGTTTGTCACCCTATCCTATAAAAAAAAGAAAAACATTTTTAGAAAATCTGCATGGCTGAGAATTAAAAAATATTTCGAGAACTCATGAAGTCCGCCGACCCGTATCTATCTACTGAAGAAGCATGACGAACGAACTACTCCATAACACTTTCAAAAATAAAAGGAAGCCTCTTCCCAGATGTGGGACGCGTATAGGCTGTAGCCCTGAAGAGTACGTACTAAAATATGGTACGTACTCACGCAGAGAGGGATCCTGCCGCCCCCCCCTCGGAAGGCGTCCTAAGAACGTTGTTCTTGATTATAATGGATAGATCACTTCCCAAAATAGGTTGATCCCTCCCCCCTCCCCCTCCATCCGATTCACAAACACTGTTACACACACATATCAAGACATCAAGACAGTACAGAACACTAGGACACACTACGTTCGTCGGGAAACAAGAGGTCACAGACACATGCCGTACATGAGGTTCAATACCCGTGATACAGGACGTTTTTAGTTTACGGCCCGTTTCCCTTATTCCAATTATTCTGATATTTTCTGTTCCCTGTAGCGGTTGTCCGCTCCGTTGAGTCGGAAGGTTTATCACACAAAAATGTTTAATAAAGACATTTAGTAAGAAACGCAAGCAGCGTTTTAGCTCTATACCACGAGAGGTAGACTAGTTATTTTTTATTGTTTTTTAATCATTGTCGGTATTAACAATAAAATTGTAATATTCATATTCATATATTAATACTAGCGGTTCCCCGCGACTTTGCCCACGGATAATTTAGGATTTTAATTATATTGCGCGGAACCCTAATTATTTTTGTAAAATATAAGTAGCCTAAGTTACTTCTATTACCATCACCTATCTACCGGTGAAAGTCCCGTAGAAATCGGTCCAGCCGTTTCTGAGATTAACCGGAACAAACAGACAGACAAAAAATTTAAAAATTGTGTTTTTGTTATAAGTACCGTATACACTTTCATATTCATTTTAGTAAAAGGCTGTTATTTTGACATTACAAACAGAGACTTCAATTTTATTTATTTTTGTAGATGTATAGATTACACTTTGATATTATCAAAACACACACGTGGTAGAGCAACGCTACAGTAGGAATAACCGACGTGCAAAATAGTAAAATTATGCCTTTGTGCTTCGTATGCTGAGTCACGAGAGCCGGAGACCCTTTTTATTGGAAACAAAGTAATCCGTACTAAAAATAAGTCCATTTAAGGACTAAGCTATAAGTAACAACGCATTTTTTTTATAGGAGAGGAGGCAAACGAGCATGCGGCTCACCTGATGGTAAGTGACTACCGCCGCCCATGAACAACTGCAACACCAGGGGAATCGCAGATGAATTGCCGGCCTTTTAAAAAGAAGTAGGCTATTTTCTTGAAGGTCTGGTGAAATTGAGCGGCTGGAATTAGTCCGAAAATTTCCTCAGAGCACTCCCCGTGGTAGATGCGATAAAATACGCAGAGTTACAACATCTCTAGGCAGTGCCAGTGAGTCAAGCCGATCGGAAAGAACTCGGTCGTCGCCGATTCGAACCGTTCTGCGCTGGCTGCGGTCAAGTGGAAGGAGCTGGCACTGGGGAGGTCCTGCCCAGATATGGGAACCGTATTCCATGTGGGGCTGAACCTGCGACTTGTAAGGTTGCATCTGCATTTTAATTCGTAATCTTTTGACCACAGCATCCACTACCATCAGGTGAACGGTTTCTCGGCTGTCACCTTTACTTCATTGAAAGAAAAAACATAAGACGACTTAAGTAGTACATAGCTGATGAGTTTGAGGACTTGATATTGTAATGGCTAAGCATTCGGCAGCGACCTTGTAGGTCACGGGTTCGATTTGTATGACCTATAGTTGTTTCGGCGTAGATGCTTTATATTTATAAAACTTTTCCACGGCTATGGAAAATTTGGTATATAATTGCCAATTGTAGAAAATTCTAGAAAGGCGAAACCATTTTTCTATAGTTTTCTATGTGGCCAGTAGTAAAAATAACATCGTCAATCATTTGAGGACTTAGCAGAGAAAGTTTAAGGTTGGCAATGTTAAGATCCCATTATATAGTTTTGATTATAAAACTAGTTTATAACCAGTTTAGGTTTGTTCTTAACCGATTACCAATTCGAAATTCGTTACTATTAACCTATCAAGAAAGTTAATATTTCATCATATAAATCTATTCACCATAAATTTAAAAAAAAACACGCCTAGCTATAATCACAATGAAAAATAAATTTTGGTGGTCACGTAATATGACTGCTACTCCATAGCTTTCTATGAAATGAAATGTTATTAAACAGCATCCCAAAAACCATTAGAAGTGTTTCCTCGATTACTACGATTGTTATACAACAAATGTAAATAAAAAGCCTGTGGTTCCCGGTTCTAGTTAAGTGCGTAATCAGCATTAGTGTTAAAACCAGTGTGAACGGCAGAGTCGGGAAGAGGCGCCCTAGACAAAAGTTTGTAGACCATATTGGCGATATTATTGAAGATGGGCCAGATTAAGAGTTTATAAAGTCATGGAAGTATACCTGTACAGTAGTTGTTTTGTCTGATTACAAGAATGGAGTGATTCATCATTTTTTTTCATCATTACAGCCCTTCACAAGTCCACTGCTGAACATAGGCCTCCCCCAAAGAATGCCACAAAGCACGGTCCTGAGCCACCTGCATCCATCGACTTCCTGCATGTCTTACCAGGTCGTCACTCCATCTCGTGGGGGGACGCCCTACACTTCGCCTACCGGTACGAGGCTGCCACTCGAGAACCTTTCTTCCCCATCGGTTGTCGGTTCTTCGAGCTATATGGCCGGCCCACTGCCACTTCAGCTTACTAATCTGTTGGGCTATGTCGGTTACTCTGGTTCTACTGCGGATATCCTCATTCCTAAGTTTATCACGCAGAGAAACTCCGAGCATAGCCCTCTCCATTGCTCGCTGAGCGACCTTGAGCTTCCTCATACGGCCAGCAGTGAAGGACCACGTCTCAGTTCCATAAGTCATCACTGGCAACACGCACTGGTTGTACAATTTCGTTTTCAGATTTTGAGGTATGTCTGACGAGAAGATGTGTCGTAGCTTCCCGAACGCTGCCCAGCCGAGTTGAATCCGTCGATTGACCTCTCGGTCGAAGTTGGACTTACCTAGTCGGACTATTTGTCCCAGGTAAACATAATCGTCAACAACTTCGAGCTTAGTGCTCCCAACAACTACCGGCATAGGTGTGACATGGACATTGAACATGATCTTTGTTTTGTCCATGTTCATCTTAAGACCTATCCGTTGGGAAACACTATCGAGGTCATTGAGCATAGTGCTTAGGTCCTCCAGCGATTCTGCCATAAGGACTATATCGTCGGCAAATCGAAGGTGAGTGATGTACTCGCCATTGATGTTTATACCGTATCCTTTCCAGTCCAGAAGCTTGAAAACGTCTTCCAATGCAGCGGTGAAGAGTTTCGGGGATATGACGTCACCCTGTCTTACACCTCTCTGCAATTGGATAGGTTTCGTACTCTGGTTCTGTACTCGGATAGCCATCGTAGCCCTACTGTACAAGCACTTCAACACTTCGATATACCGACAGTCAACTTGGCACCGCTGAAGGGACTGCAGCACCGCCCAAATTTCGACGGAATCAAAGGCTTTCTCATAGTCCACATACGCCAGACATAGTGGCAAATTGTACTCTTCGAACTTCTGTACAATTTTCCGAAGGGTATGTATGTGGTCTATGGTGCTAAAGCCCTTTCGGAAACCGGCTTGTTCGGGAGGCTGGAAGTCGTCAAGTCTGCGCGCGAGACGATTCGTAATGACTCTCGAAAACAGCACGTAGACGCGGCTCAGAAGGGAAATCGGTCTGTAGTTCTTCAAGAGAGCGTTGTCACCTTTCTTGAAGAACAAGACCACCGCACTTCTGCTCCACGCCTCCGGTGTAATGCCACCATGGAGGACGGAATTAAAGAGCTTCTGAAGGACTTCAAGTACCGGTTTTCCACTCGCTTTCAGAAGCTCCGCTGTAATTCCATCCTCGCCTGGGGCCTTACCGTTTTTAAGGTGCTGGAGAGCCATTCTAATCTCGCTCAGACTGACGTCCGGGATATCTTCGGAATAGTGTCGGATGAGACTCGCTCTTGGATCGTTACTCACACTAGCGTGTGGCTTCAACGATGAAATGGAGTGATTAAGTCGGTACATATATCTACACATATGAATGTATATGTGGGTATAATACTATATAGTTGGCAGTACCTCGAAAAGTAAGTGAAGCCGTTGGTCTTGCGAATGATCTCTCTCCGGTTATATCAGCTTGTCCTAGAATAGAAAGAGTACCTGTGTTCGCGCGCACACTCAAACCCTATAATCCTGTACTGTTCAGACGACTAGTCTCCTAAGATATTCGAGTAATCTAAGATATTCGAAAATGTAACCATTTTTTTATAGGATAAGGTGACAAACGAGCACACAGTCCACCTGATGGTAAGTGGTTGCTGTGGCCCATAGACATCTACATCTATCCTCGCTTGCGAATCAAAATTCAAAAAGGGGTTTCCGGTTCTCTACACTCACCCTCATATGAAACAAAGCAGTGTTAAGCTGCTATTCTGCCCTGGTATTTTGTGTGAGCGTGGTCTCTATGTAAGTAATTTTATCAACACACTTTTTTATGTAATTTCGATAAAAAAAGGGTGTTCATAAAATTACTTATATAATTACCTTATTTAAACTCGAATGTCGTATTTCTCTACAAAGCCAAAAATATATTTAGAATGATAATGATGTTAATGATGTTTACAATTATTAATAAAAAGTAAAATAATACTTAATGTGTGTGATGAAATCACTATTGAAAAAGTTTTATCAAAAACAATATTCTGTGCACCCATGACATTTATTGGCTGGTCCAAAAAATGTAGAAATATTGCTTTTTAAGTTTATATTAGCTATGATAAATATATGACAGTAATTTTTTTCATCATTTGTAACGGATGTTTTACTTTTAATTATATTTAGGAACTTATTTCAAAATTTAAAAAAATATCTTACATAATTATATTATTTATAACAAAAATAATTATAAAAATGAATTTGCTTACAACTTAAAACATATGAATTTTGCCACTTTAAATCTTAATACCTACCAATTGCCACTTTAATTTTTAATTACCCATTTAATTTAAATTGGTATTAAGAAACTTTATCTATTATGGAATAACCAATTTAGTTGCATTTTATTGCTTTAAAAATAACCAATATCTTTCAAACTTAAAAAAGATTATGTTATATAACATTTAGTTCTACTTCGGTAAAAGTCTTTTAGAATATAGACGATAAAACTAGATTCAAAACGGCGTTTTAAACTAGATGCAGTGGGGATTGGGAAATGCGCGAACGCCGTACATTTACGAAGTGACGGGCACAATGAACGCTACATACGCGTATTGGGCTTCCAGCTGCCTCTTGACTTTATTTATTTCATTTTTACTACTTGGATCTAGTTCAGCATCAGTAGCTCAAGAAAGCACGCCCAGACAACAAGACGAATTGCCTGTGCAAAAGATTAAAGTGTACGATGGTGTTTATGTGGAAGTGCCCAAAGGAAATGATACGAAAAAACTGCTTTCGTTCGAAATTCAAACATCCAATGATTCGGAGACGGAAACAGGTCAGTAGAGTCATATGAATAATTACAGTCAATTTTCAACTATTTTAACTTTGCTAATTTTTGAAATACATAGTTAAGTTTTAATTGAAATTAAGTATTAATTACGCTTTCAGCGAAATAAAACGTACCAAAATATATCATTTATAGAAATAAATATTTTTGTATGTTGTTACATATTTTTATATTGTTTATACTTTGGAATGAACACCGGCATTTTTCTAGAAATAAACGAGACAATTTAATGAAATTAATATTCTTTCCTAAATAATCAAAGAACGACCGTTATTGATTGTAATATAGATTAATATAAATCGTAAATTTGGTATACGTGTTTTTAAACTTTGTGACACTTCGTTCCGCATTTTGTAGAAAAACGTTGCCTTGGAGAAGTAGATAGGAAAAATTGACAAGTCTTTGTTGTTTGATAGCGCCTGTGTTCATCGTATATAGACTTTTAGACTAAAGTCTATAATGAAGACTTGAAAGCTAATCAGAGGCTAAAGTTTCTAGCCGTCCACGGGACTCATTCTTGAGATCTTTTGAGAAATTTACAGAAAGGACGCAATTTAACCAAAATGTGCCTGTTGCCTGGTGCGTGTTGTATATGCAGCACTAGTATTACGACGGAACTTAAAATGAGATAATAGAATCTTAAAATAATAATTACATTTGGAATTCGAAGTCGAAGACATCTACAAGACATCTATCGACTTCAAGAACCTGTATAAGAAAAGTACGATTCAATATAATTCAATAATAACAATATTTAGATACTGCTAATCGTGATGTAATAATTTTGATTTATTTAAATTGAAATATCAATTGAATTAATTTAATAATATCTATATTATGAAAGTCTTTATTAGATGTAGATTTAAAAATTTCTTCTTTCATATTTCTTAAAATTATATGTTTTACTAAAACTATTTATATTTTAAACCTATAAGAAAGATATTTAGGAATAGTAGTAGGCGCAGCGTGTGTCTTTTATCGTTAAATGGGGGAAAAGGCAGTCTTTGCCAATGCATATCTTATGCGTTTTAGATATACGCAAGAGAAAGATGTTGTGCAATCATTTAATATTCGATGAAACTCCAATATTTCTCATTCTTCGATAGTTTCAACGCATAAGTTGAAACTCAAAGTTGAACTTATAAGTTGAAAACTGCAAAGTTTTGAAAAATTAAATTTGTTAAAGAGTATTCAAGTTTACAATACTTCTAAGTAGTACCTAGTAGATACATAGTAGATTTTTTTTATAGGATAAGGATAACAAACGAGCACATAGTCCACCTGACGGTAAGTGGTTGCTGTGGCCCATAGACATATCTACATCTATCCTCGATTACGTATGAAAACTCGTTTCTAGTAGAAAGGGTCTCCGGTTCTCTACACTCACCATACGAAACACAGCAGCCATTTTACGCTGGTATTCTCTGAGAGCGTAGTCCTTCTCTGGTCGGGCCGATACATTCGTGTTACAACTATACCATTAATATAGCTGCAGCATGGTTCTACCACGTAAAATATATACTTATACGTAAGTAGATACTTAGTTTTATTTTTGTTTTACGAATAAAATATGTTTTATGGATATTAATTTGTGTGTTATACGTGTAGTAGTGGCGTCCATCATAATCATTCATGTCCCCATTTCGTCCTATGGGCGTCATAAGAGACCAAACGTGAGAATTACACCTGATGGTAAGTAGATGAGATATCCCATAGCCCCGTTACCACTAAAAGTAATCTCTGGTCCTCGTCATTAACCGTGTAAGTTAGTACATCATTATACTGCTATTCTATGCGAGCGTGGTAATTTTCTGGTTTAGCCAACCCATTAGTGGTGCAGCTATAATACGAGTATTATAGGTTATTTTACCCCTACCTACTGTCCTCTACCAAATATCTCCACGTTCTGTTTTTTCGTGACCTTTGACGCCTGGTAACCAAAACAGTTTTAGATCAGCCATTGTTAACTTACTTTGAAATTTCAATCAAGTCGGTTACTCGATACGAGTATTACTGTAAAGTGATTGGAGTGATGATTTTATCTGGCATAGGTTTTTGCAAAATCTGTATTTGGAAAATCCATCGCTAGTGTTTACAATTATATTGTACATTAATGTAAATTAAATAGATCCGTACAGGAAAATAGATTTTTAAATGTGAGAGAGCCTCGCAGCTTTGTTATGGTTGCCGCACGAAAAGCGAATAAGGCACAATAGCGCGCCTCCGAGAGATGACTATTGACTTAGGCCATTTGCTGTAGATACTTGTAAAATTACCAACATATATGTGACCTATAATCGTGGAAATAAATAATTTGAATTTGGCTATCCGCCCGTGGGGTTCCCGCGCGTTTAAGTTTCTATTGGGACTGTATACGAGGCTGGTTGTCGCCCCTGGAGATAAGAGTGCTGGTTCTTTTCTCGCCCAAAAGCTAAATATGGACATTTAGTAAGAAACACAGTAAGAACGCAGCGCGTATTCTTGACATTCTATAGCGGGTAATAGTGTTCGTTTGTTGTGTTGTTGTAGACCGAGTTTCAGTAAAGGCGGTCATTCTAAACAGAGACAAGCCTGCTGAACTGTCAGGATTATAGTACCCGAGCGTACGCGCAATCACAAGTGCACTTTCTATTCCCTCACTCTCATAGTCCGATGGTATGATTATCCGAGACGACCGAATAGTCATTACTTGAATAATAAACACCAATGTCTTGCGTAAAAGAATAGGCAAAAAAAAAAGAAATCTACACAAATTGTCCATTATTTTCTTCGCAGTTTCATTGCAATTTGGTTCAATTATTTTATGAAAGTCAAAATGAAATAGTAATTTTGCGTGAAAATTTCACGCATCTAATTCGTGACTGTTATTTACGCAGCAATTAAAGATACTTGTAACAGAAACTGATGTTTCTCTTTCTCATTATTGTAATTAATGTGAGGATAGTAAAAGTTTGTTGAAGAGATTTGATGCCACTAAACGAAGTTTTTTTTTGTAGAATTAGGGTGACAAGCGAGCATACAGCCCACTTAATGCTAAATAGATGCTGTGGCCCATATACAGCTACATCTATCCTTGACTACGAATCAAAATGCAGAAGCGTTGTCGCCTCTGAGGACTAAGATGGAATGCCTCGTATCCAGTAAAAAGTAAATATTTTGTATCAATAATGCGGTAATTGGTTAGGTTTTAAAACTTACAAGTATTTGAAATGAAATTAATGTATATAGGTGTTTAAGTCTATAGTTGATATATTTCTATAATTTGTTATTAATTGTGCTGTGTTCCGTACCCTTTTAGTTTAGTTTAGTTTAGTTTACGACGGGCTGTTTTCCGCAACTCCACGTCTATGCGCGTATTTTGCGTGTGGGCAGGAATAATGTGATTATTCGAGCCATGAGATCTCTCCGAAGAAGCTCAACAGGCCCTTGATGTTGCATGCAACTTCGGGGAGTGATCCCGGCGTGCCGAGATGTTTAGCCCTGTATGTAGCGACCTCCGGACATTTCAGTAGCACGTGGGCCGCCGTTTCTTCCTCCCCCATACATGCCCTGCACAGGGGACTATCTGTAACACCTATAGTAAATAAATGTTTGTTAAAGGTGCCGTGTCCTGTGATAGCACTTGTTACTATCCTAATCTGCGGCTTGTTCAGTCTCATTAAAACTTTTGTTAAGCGACTGTTAATTTCAGGCAGGGCATCCCTAGCTTGTCTACAGTCTACTAGATTTTTCCAAAGCTGAGCGTGTTGATTAGTAAAGTGTCTACGTACCAGTGAACAAACGTTACCAAAGGGGATTGGTATGATTGGTTCCGGCCCTATAGTGGCCAAAGCCGATCCTCTTCTGGCAAGTTCGTCTGCTGCATCGTTGCCTCTGGATCCACTGTGTCCCTTTATCCATTGCAGGGTCACATTGTTGTTTTTACATACCTCATTTAATCGTTGATGGCATTCATATATTAGTCCCGAGTTCACCACATTGCATCTCAGGGCTTGGAGTACCGCCCTACTGTCGGTCAGTATTCTGATGGGGAAGTCATTAACCTTCCTAGCATCTATTGCTATGGCCGCTTGAATGATACCCATACATTCCGCCTGAAAGACCGTGTTATAGGTACCCAGCGGTGTGCATATGTGAATATTGAGGTCTTCAGAGAAAGCTCCACAACCTACACCTTCATTTGTTTTAGAACCATCGGTGAAAATTCTAAGCTCTTTTGGGCTTAATCCTTCCGGCTGGCTGTTTTCATTTAACTGTATCTTGTATTTCTTATCGAAAACAAATTGTTTAGGAATCCTATCGTATTTGGCTTGTAGGATAGGAATTTTTGAGTGAATTCTATCAATTATGCCTGTATGAGGGACACTATTCTTACTCCAAAGATTTAGGGTCTTGAGTCTGATGGCAGCTAAAGTCGCTTCTTGTTGTATATGTAGATGAAGCGGAGTTAGCTCCAGCATCGCTTCTAAGGCTGCTGTTGGCGTAGTTCTCATGCAGCCTGTAGCAGCCATACATGCCAGTCTCTGGTAGCGCTGAAGCTTTTTAATTATGGTGGCTTCATTTGTCTTGGTCCACCATACCAGAGCGCCGTATGTGATCATGGGCCGAATTACAGTTTTGTAAAGCCACAGTATGATTTTTGGCGTCAATCCCCATCTTTTGCCAATCATGTTTCTGCATTGCCAGAAAGTTATACTAGCTTTGTTGATTTTGTTTTCTATGTGTTTATTCCAGTTAAGTTTGCTGTCCAAGGTAAGACCTAAATATTTTACCTCAGAGGATAGCTGGAGTTTTGTGCTAAAAAGACTTGGAGGATGATAGTTATTCAGCTTTCGTTTTTGTGTGAACATAACTAAAACCGTTTTATTTGGATTGACAGTTAAGTCGTGTTCCCTGCACCATCTCTCCACTATACGGAGAGCCGCTTGGGTCAGGTCGCACACTATGCTTGCTGTCTTTCCAGAGACCAGTATTGTCAGGTCATCAGC